TTTTGAGAATATACCAGAGAAAATAAATTACAGAATATACAAGATTTTCAATGAGGTATGAGAACACGAAGCTTTACCGTATATTCGCTACTAAACTATAAACTCATAATTGAGATAAAATTATATTTTTTGTCGCAGTTATATAAGCGCTTCGCTTGAATTATAATTTATAATTTATAATTCTTATGAGAGTTCAAAGAAGTGTAAAAAACGAGCAAAAGATATTTTTATCATACAATTATCTTTTTCCCTTTCTTCCACTTATGTGAACGACTAATTTGAACTATGAATCATAATTGACGTATTTATATATTTCTATACTTTAACACTATTTTTACATCGTGCTTTACAAAAAAATGTTGAATAGGAAAAGATCGCAAAAGAATAAAAAAATGTCGAAAGAAAAATCCAAGACTAGAAGCTTTTTGTTTTCTTTTTTTATATAACTTTGCTGATTTACATGACACTCGAAAGTGCTCAGATGTTGTAAAAAAAATGAAGATGTTAAAACCAGAAGGTTAATCATTACTTATGTCCGTATGATACACAATTGACATATGTTTTTACACAAAATCCAAACAGACAACATTTTCAGAAACTGGCGTGTTAATGTAATTCTATCGTTGACAAGTAAATTGTCCAAGTGTGTGATATATTATCTGGCTTATAGATAGAGACGTCATGATGACTCACCTGTGATGTAATAAAATGAAGATTCGTTTGCTATTTGTTATATTATAAGTACATAGAAATCTTGCGAATACTTTTACTTTTCTCACTTTTATTGTCCTATGAAAATTTTCTATACTACAATCAGGAAGGTATTCATGACCTCTATTTCAATGAAATCCATTGCAACGATTTGATTTTTCGATATAGTGTTCGCTTTAGCGATGAGTATCATATTCGTTTAGTCGTGACCAAAACTCATTTTTGCCTGGGACATGTGCATTATAAACGTTTGTACATTAGACTACGTGTATCATGCCAATTTATATGCTAGTTACTTACTACGACAAGTGCTATACACCAACAATAAGAATAGGATGAATGAAACTTGATACTGATAGTGGTATTGAATGACAGTTTAGATTTACAGAGTTTGACAGGTAAAAATTGCGATGATTGTCGTTGGCAATTAGTCGGTTGAATGGCGAGAAAACAAGTGCGTCATTTACTTTGAGAATTATTGAGGCAAAACTGCTTTGATCGATAAAATGTTTGACAGTCATGTTTTTGCTAAGTTATATTTACATTTTTTGACAGTAGAAAGGATTATTTCTTTTCAAGTTTTATTTAACGCTTCTTCTTTTGAGTTGCTTGATACTAAATATATTTCACGTCTTTCTCAAGGTAGAATGCGAAGCACTGTATTGGTTTTATAAATTTTAATTACAGATCGGTGTGACCAAGTTTTTTGGCCATTGTCTGCGGTTTGAGACTTTCTTTTAAACAATATGAATCGATACTGAGATGGAGATCATACCAGTGTTATCTATCAACGGGGTAGCCGGAGGGAGACAAATGGATAATTGCTCATTTCATTTGGAGATTTGCGCATTGTGATTTTATTAATAAGCTTTTGCAGGTGTATGCGGGTGACTACGGTTTTATCGTCTTTGTATCCACACCCACACCCTTTAACAAAAAAAAGACTGGCTTAATCATGATACTGTTCATCTTATATTTGCATTAGAATATTTACAAGAAATTAGGTCTACGAATAGGTAAACATATTCTTATTAAATATAGTTCATCACCTCAAATGAAAAAATTATTCGACCATATATATCTATTTGTTAAATGAATACACTTGAACAATATCATTTATTAATCAAACTTTATCGAGTTTGTTAAAATAAACCTGTTGGAAAAGTGTCTCATTGTATTGATCAAATGAAAGGAGGTGATATTATCTAATGTAAGGGACCATATGGTTGTCTTGAGTATCAAAAAAATGGACTTTTCATTCATGACGATACAATTTATTAAATCGATAAAATAATTATGATAGTTAGAGGAAGTGGAATTACTGTATTGTATAAAGTTCTTCTTTGTGCACATGTGAATGGAATCCAATGTAATCTTATTTATTGTAATAAGATAGAAGAATTCATCATAGAATAAAAATGACAATTATTTTGTCTATTCTGAATTTTTATTTTAATCGTTAAATATTTATGTAATTTCATTTTTTTATCAGATATATAATAAATAATATTTCACCTTTCGATTACATTGAGTTTAGTAAAAGATAATTTTTTCTTCGAAGTATAAATATTGTAAATGACAAAATCTAAAGTTAATCATATGTTTTCTTATTGAAAAAAAACTAAGAGAGATATATTGTACTCTAGCAGTTCCAGCTTTTTTCTTATTTATACGAAATGTTGAGAATAAAATTATGAATGTCTGCATTAAAAAAGAATACTAATCGGTCTTTTCTGTATTGAAGTTTTGCTAAAGAAATCAAAGGTACATAGAATTAGTAAGCATATAACAGCAGAAAACAAATAGAATGATATTCGTTAGTAATGATGTAATTGACATTGGACGAGATACTTGTTGTTTCTTATACTCTTATCATCAAGTTAAAATCAATAAAACAAGTCTGATTTTACTATAGCACAAAAAAAGATTCATATCTCTTAGAGCAATATTTCAACATGACAAATGATAGCATTATAATATTTGAATCACATACTTTATTTGATAATCTACCTACGGAAATTATTTTTCATATATTTAGTTATTTATCATATAATGATATATTATTTATACATTAATTTTATTCAATTCACGATTAAATCATTTATTATTAGAACATGAACATTATTTAAATAATTTACAATTACCAATTAGAGATTTGAATTTTTGACAAAATATTCTTTCAATAACTGGATCAAGAATAAAAACTTTAAGAATTTCTACGATTAATTTATCTTTATCATTGTTTTTTTTTGTTCTAATATAAAATCTATTACTTATTATAACTTCATTGTGTGGTTTATCTAATAGATCATTACAAATACTACATACATCTAAAATAAAAAGTAAAAACTATCTTAAACCATGACCATCTTTATTTTATGATAGTTTGAACATTATTTATTTACATAAATATTTAATGAAAAAAATCTATTAGAAATATTAGAATATTTAACTTTAATAACATTATATTCATATGAATTTATTGATATATTTTCTGTTCTTCAATATACACCAAATTTAATATATTTAAACGTTAAAACAATATCAAGTGATAGTCATAAAAAACAAAATGAATGTATTAATATAATTAGTATTAAATTAAAACAATTATATTTAACATTATATTATGAAACATTCTATACGATTGAAAAATGTTGATCAACACATAGATTTTCTTTATTTAATAAGTGATATAAAACTTCAGGGGTCGCAGCGGCATGTGTTTCAATATTAGGAAGCAGGACAGGAAATTTTTTTTTTTAAATCAGGAATTTTCATAAAAGTCAGGAAAGGTAAACTTTCTTCTAATATCGCTTTTCTCGAGTAAAATCGGCGTCAAAGAAAGTGCAGTAATAACAGCTTGTAACAATCAAAATACAGGTTGCTACAAGCAAACACTAAAGCTGTTTAAAACACTATGAATCATATATAAACTTATTGTTTTATTCAGGTTTATATACCTTTCGTTTTCTTCTATTGTCATACTTCAACTCTGTGTTTTTATTCTCTGAATATATAAGACAACTATTATCTTATATTGATTTGATTTTGAAAAATTGTATCCCTTTGACTAAATATTTTCTGATGTCGACAAATACAAAGTTTTGTTCAAAATGGTTGCAAAACTTAGATAATACCGGTAGAGTGAATTCTCGATGGCTTAATCAAGGTAAAACTACTAGTTCATTTCAATGTATCGTATGCAATTCAGATAATTTTAGGTGTACTAATGGAGGATCGGCTAATTTAAAGAGGCATTTTAATCGACCAAAACATATTCAATGTATGAAAGATGTGTTTGATTTTACTTTACTAACAGCATCAAATAATCAATTATTACTTTTATCGAAAAATAAGAATAATAATAGTATATGTGTAGGTACAGGGTCCATTGATAGAAATACAACAAGAATACCTTTTGTTATTGTTGAGAAAGAACAACGGGCATTAACACATAATGATAGTAAGTATCTGCAATTACTATTCACTATTTTTATAGTATTTTTCGATATCATTAACCAATGTATATGACGATGGAAAACCATCAAAGTATGAGAAAAAACTGATTGGATAATGTTAGATACTCTAATGTAATCATAGAGAGGAGCAAGAAAAAAAAAACAATAATAAATATATCAGAGACAGGACGCTTTAAAGGAAGAAGAAAATAATGTACCGATCACTACATGGACATTTAGAAGAAAAAGAAATCGATTTAAAAAACTAACAAAAACGTTTACAACAAGATTTAGCGAGTGCAACGAAAATGTTGAAAGAAGGAAGTACAAGACTTGCCACGGTCGTAAATAGTAAAGATTTTAATGATGTTAGTACAGCTAGATTACTTGTAACTGCTGCTAATGCTAAATTATATATTTTGAAAGCTCAATTACTTGAGAATAGTGAAAATTTAAACCGATTGAGAAAAAACAGAAAAATGAATAATGAAAGTAAACATTATTTTTAGAAATTGTATTGTTTTTGTTAAAGATATTGTATAATATATAATATCTTAGTGTGCATTTTGAAAATAAATTAAGTTAAAAATATTATAATATGTCATGATAAGGGAAATATAATGACTATGCGAATGAACTATGAAAAATCAGGAGAAAGTCAGGATTTTTGGCCGAAATTAGGAAAAACAGGACGTTTTTCAAAAAACAGGAAAAAAACAGGAAAGTATACCGGCTGCGAGGCCTGATAAAACTATTTTTATCAACATTAATTTGTTTGTCAATGAATTTCCATTAAATGGTTTTACATTACAACATCAACTGTTAGAAACAATGATAGAACTTAAACAAATTCATCTTTATTCAAAACTCAAACAAGATCAATTTTGGTTCGATCATAAATGGTTTGTTGGAATGCATAAAAATTATTTCTATATATTACCATTTGCTTTTAATAAACTTTATGGTTTTAGTAACTTTGATGAGATTCAATCAAATCATGATGATATTCTAAATTCTTATGGAATATGGTATATTTATATCAAGTGATTTATTTAGTTATTCGGAAACAATTGAAAAGAATCATCTATAACTGAACAAGAAACTTTAAGAAATACAGAAACTGTTGATTTAATTGGTGGTTCAATTGAAAATATAAAACAATGATTGATCTATATTTTACCAAATGTAAAACACTTAATTTTATCTTATACTGGTTTACCATCATTCAATAGCCACTTAAGCTTAGATTTAGATAATTTCAATGGTATGTTAAGATTCTTATGAAAATAATTCGAAATTATAATCAATTAAAAATCTCTATTTGTATATATTATTGATGAAAATTATGTACAAGCATATGGTTCATCAGAAGTTGAATTAAGTAAAATTATTAGATATTTAAAAATAAATCATATTATAAAAAACTATGGTGATCAACGTCATCGAAAATGTGCACTTTTTTTTTGACCTATATAAACTAAAATAATACAAAGTTCCTTCTGATGTTTGACTTTGAACTATAATTATTCCAGTTAACTATGTAGATGTTATCATTTGTTTTACCAATCATCTAGATATGATGAAATTAATTGTTTAGTTGTTATGTAAAATCAAAAGTCTATAAGGTTAATCACACCAATGGCTTGCTCGATATGTTGTAGTATGAATAGATATTGTTTATTCTTGTGTTAAGATATAAGATGGTTTATTAGAATCAGTTAAGCTTGTTTAGATAATGTTTAGTCTGATTTGAATTGAATAATAAGGTTTCATTTATGAAATAAAATATTTGAAAAGTCTCAAGGTAATAAATCGTCAGTGTTTTATTCATTCTAATTTCTAATTACACATATATTATATAATAAAACAGGAATACAAACTATCATTTTAAATATTTTACTAAAAGAATAAGTATTGTATGGATTGATTGTATCGAAATTAATATACAATAGAATGAAAAAGGTGTGGGTGTGGGTGTGGGTGTCGTTTCATTCTTTCGTTACATGTTATTGATAAAAATCATGTTTTCGATGAAAACGATACAGACAAACAATGAATATATTTAGAGAATTATATTTATTTGAAAAATCCACTTACTTGTCGTTCTATTTAGTGTTGCTTATATACAAATAATATTTGAAGTTTTGCTTTAACATTCAAAACACAACATATACTGACAATATACTCTTACATTATTATTTATGGAAGAAAAAAAGTAAATCTCATATTTTATATTACAATTAAAACTAATGTACTGCCATATATTTTCTAATCTTTTTGTTATCGAGATTATTGTGGCACATACTAATATGCGTCAAGGTAAGTATATAATAAATAAAAAAAAAGCTTGCAGACGAATAAAGAAATGCATTGTTTCACATCGCATTAAATATTATCTAATAAAAACATCAAAGTGTAAGAACTATCTTTAACTAAAAGTTGCATATTGCATCAAATTTGTCAATCATATTATTTTCATTATATAGTAAATGGATTCAAGTTAACAGATCAAATAGTTTTATTAAACAGTATATATGAATAAATAAATAAGGAAAAATAAAAACGAATAAGATATAAGAATAGATAAATGAGAAAATAAAAATAAAAATAAAAATGAATGAGATATAAAAATAGATAAATGAGAAAAAAAAGAAAAATGAATAAAAGAAAATGAAATAAATGTCTAATCAATGCATAATGTTGTGTGAAATTGAATTAAACAATTTAGTTTTGTTTAACAAATAATGTCCATCCGCTATTTGTCACGGTTTTCGTGCCATTGAAGAGCTCAGCAGCTGGCGCACGATCTTTAAGATCATAAGAAGTATGATATGCTGTGTCAGTTGTCACACCATAACCACCACAGTCACGTTCAGCATTACAATAAGCAATAGCTTCAGGTAATGGAAGAATACAAACTCCACTTTTTTGAAGACTATGTTTAATATGAGTACAATCAAAACGATTTGCACCAATGGTGTTTTTTGTAACTACGTAATCAACAATTAGTGACTGAGGAACAGTACGTTTTCTTAAAATAAAATAAAATAAAATATTCTCATTTCATAGAAATATTTGTATATCTACTTACTCTTCCAATTCTTCTTCACTTACTTGATCAAGACCAAGTAATGCTCGAAGATCCATTTTATTATTTCTATATTGTCTTCCATCAACACCATTTGTTTTCAAAGTTGCAATAACAACAACTAAACATACTAAGACTGCAACAATCTTTGTCATTGTTAATGATTAACGGTAATAAATGGAAGAAAAATAAGAAATGAAATAATAGTATAAATATACACCAAATATGCCTTGCTTAAATAGTACTGTGTTAGACCACCTCTTCATGTTGTGAGTATGATTGTATGACTTGATGAAGCGTAACGCTAGGCCACTTATACATGTTGTGGATATGAATCGATGAAGCATAGTATCCAATATTTATCAAAATAGACGATTCTCTTGTATGTCGCACTTTAATATTGTACAATATTATATGATTACCTTGGACGAAAAACAAAATATTATATTAACTATTATTTTGAAGATCGGTTGATTTTGTTGACTTCAACATATATCAACATTAATACGATACAGCATATAGAAAATAACAACCTACGAAAAATAGAAAAATCATTCTTCAAAGAATAATCTTTATTATAAATTGTAACTGAATCAGTTTCCTTTTTATACGTTGTTTTTATCTTTTCAAATTGTTCAACAAATAATAATAATAATGGACAGAAATATAAGTGAATACATATATTTAGAAAAAGAAAAAAAAATGATAATAATTTGAATAGTATCGTTACTAAATAGTTCTGTTCGATAAGATTAGTAACACGACTGTATAGTGTTTTTTAACCTTCACAAATTATAAATCTACACTAATTTGAAAATACTCTTTAAAGTAAAATATTCAGTATTGATCAAATATTCCACTTATTATTTTTGTGAATCCTAAAGAACTTGAACCTATTAATATATAGAAACAAAATATTTTTTTGATTACTTTTAGAAAGAGAGCAGAAAGAGTTACTTTTTCTTCTTATAATGTCTTCACATAGTTTTTTCTGCATACGATTGAAAAGTCAATGACTAAATAACTATGTATTATACTTATTCATAAGTTTGTTTTTATCTGTTCTCTTTTTTTCTTTTCGATCAAAGCAATGAAGACGAGAGAGATAGTTTTGAATGAATGAACAGTCATAGACAACTGCATACATTATCAAATCGATCATTGTCTATGTGTTTTGTCAATTGATGATTTTTTATAACTGAAACATTCAACTTTTCCACAGTGAACTATATTAAAATGGATCACAAAGAGTATTTGAATTTTTTGTCTTAATTTGTTTATTTGAAAAAAGTATTATATATGACAATCGAAGTATTTTTGAATAGTTGTTTTCTAAAAGAATCAACCATCAATATTTGAAATTTTTACAGAGAAGTTTAAAATGAAATTTAGTTAGATATATTTTTCTTTTGTTTCACATGTCTTTCATTATGAGTTTATAACGAAAATAAATCATGAACACTTATGAAAGAGATAAACAAATCCTTTGAGAATATATCTTTGTAGATATTTTGTGACATTTCTTATGCATTATTAGTTAATCGACATAAAAATCATGTATCATATTCATAAATCTTTACTGTAAATTCATAGTTTAGAATTGTTTATTTCATCATCTACACTTTTATTTATTATTTTGTGATTATATGATCATACATTCATATTCTTTTACATATCTCTATAACTATTTCAAATGCTTTTGATTATAAAAATAATACTTAAATTCACAGTAATATATCAAACAATATTTCAGTCAATAAATGGAAACTGTTCTTAGTCCTAAAGCTCCTTACTGATATGCTATTGACTATTTTTAACGAATTTATTATCAATGTCAGTGAAACTATTTGAAAATGAATTAATGTGATAAAGTATTTAGTATAAAAAATCATGTAGTTCGAATTACTTTTGTTGTTTTAATGTTAATAATTAGTTTCTTCTATAGGACAAAATACATATTTAATTTTTTCATATGAATGACATACTATACGAACAGATCAACAAAAGTATTTTCTTCTCTCATGTGTACTAGCTCTAGCCTTTGATTGTACTAAACTGAATTAAAGTTTTGGAATCTATTTATCATCAATAGTAAGAAAACATACATTTTCTTGAATTTCAATATTAATAAATTTTATAAGGAAATATTGTGACATAGAGAAATGAAATTTTAATAAAACAAAAATTGTGAGAAGAATAATTCACTTAAAATGAAGCTGAAAATATAGATCAATATTCTGTATAAAAAATAGAACTAAATACAAACGAATTTATCATAGATTAAATGTTAACTTTACAAAAAGATTATTATGAAATCTATTAAATTTTGTTGAATTAAAAATTCAAGTATTATCCTCTAGCTTCATAATTGAATCTTCTAGATCGAAATGACGATCGTTATTATCATATTAATGATTTTCAGATAAATATTTACTAGAATAATCATATTTGGAAGAGATTTATCTATCTTTCATAAATTATATGTTCACTATTCATCTAGTTGAAATAGTCTTTCATGCATTATATACAGATATATATAATCTATTTTAGTGTCGAATATTTTACAAGAAAGTAGAAAAGTAAAATATAAATGTCTTCATTTCGTATTTATTAAGTTTTTTTTGAAAAGTATCACTATACAATAGTCATGAAACGAACTTATTTATAAATGAATACAAAAAAATAAACTTATCTTATATTTCATCAGTATTGTATTCGTTATAACTGACAAAATAGACAACTAAAATAATACAAAAACAAATCCAAATAGAACAATTAACCATTTTATTTTGATATTTTTATTTTGTAATTGATAGAATATGAAGAAGAACAGATGAATAATACAAGATTAGTAAAATAATCGGCTAAATATCAAATTTAAAGACAAGACAAATATTAGTTTAGAGTAGTTTTGTGAGAAGCAAACAATATTTCGTTTGAAATCGTAGAAGATTAAAAT